TGGCTTGGAGAGCTGCCAGGCCCAGATCTTGCAAAACCTGGCAATGAGTCTCGGAGAGGCACGAGCCAATTCAGCGAACTAATTGCCTCCTGCAAACTCCCCTTTCGCTCCTCTTTTACTTCCTCTGGGAGGGGCCATTCATTGTCCACCTGTGGCCTCACTCCCACGTCGACCCCTGTTCTTTAGCTCTTCCCTTCGTCTGGCCGCTCTGCGCATGCACACACTGGGAACAGGCTCCAGCTGTGCCTCACTGATGTCTGACTCTGAAGGCAGCTGATAACTGCCAGACGGCCCTGGCCCCCTCTCTGCCTCCGACACAGAGGCCCTCCTCCGAGCCTTCCCTAGACTCCAGGACTGGCCCAGGTTCCTCCCCAACCCTCCTCACTCTCCGAATCGGCTGCCAGCTCTGCTGGCCGGCCACAACAGTAGGAGGTTTGCTGTCCCTGCAGGAAGAGCCAGGCTGGATGGCGAGTCCAATGGGAGCAGGGAGGGCTTTGAGGGTGTGTGTGTAGAGCCCCCTTCTGTCCAGTCCTTTGTGCAAAAGTTAATCCATGTACCAGAAGGCCAGAAACTGCATGGCTTCCCAGCTTCTCACCTGGGGCCTTCCTTCCTCCTTGGTGAGATGCTGGTGCTTGTCAGAGGCTGGGGGGTGGGGGAGAGGGTCACCCAGATGCAGGAGGGCCACTTTTTGCCGCTCTCATCGGAGCCGACCCTTTCGCAGGGGGATCCACGGAGGCGGTGCATTCGGGCCTCGCTCGCCAGGTCTCCAGCCTCTTAACCAATCACCTGGCCCGGGCCACCGAGTGCTGCGGCAACCAGGCAGCCGGCAACGATGCCCTGCAAGACGTCCTCAGCCTTCTCAACGATCTTTCCAGGTAGGGGGTTCCTCAGCCGTGGCGCCTGGACGTCAACCCCCAGCTGAGCTACTAGCAGACCAGTGTCTCCCCCACCCGTGGCAAGTGGGAAGATGCCTGGACTCCCGGAATTCTCCTGGGGAATTCTGACAGTTGAAGTCCAGGCATCTTCAAGTTACCCAAGGTTGAGAAACGATGGTTTGCTAGCCAGTCTCTGGTTTGAGGGCCGGGATTTACAGCCGGGTCGAATCCTGCTGTGACCGGCGTGTTACTGAGCATATCATGATATGGGATCCTTCCTTCTTTCCATCCATCCATCCATCCATCCATCCATTCCCTCCCTTCCTTCCTTCCTTCCTTCCTTCCACTTCCTTCCTTCCTTCCTTCCTTCCTTCCTTCCTTCCTTCCTTCCTTCCTTCCCCTCCAGGAGCCACATTGGCAAAGCCATCCTCAGCCAGCCGGCCTGCGTGTCCAAACTCCTCTCTCTGCTCCTGGACCAGCGCCCCTCCCCCAAGCTGGTCCTCATCATCCTTCAGCTCTGCCGGGCCGCCCTTCCCCTCATGAGCGTGGAGGACTGCGGGAACGTGGAGCTGCCCCCCTGGAGCTACTCCGTGCCTTCCCTGAACAGCGAGCAGGACGATCCCAGCGACCCGGCCTCCAAGATCGCCTCCCTGCTCTTGGCCAAGCTGGCGGATTACGTCGTTCCAGGTAGCCATTGGCCGGATCAATATGGAGGATTCAGAAAGCGGCGTTCCCTTTCTAAGCATCCGCGAAATAGTCCCTTGTTCACCTTGGCAGCTGCGAGATGCGTGGACTCCCAACTCCCAGAATTCCCCGGCCAGCATCTCGGGCTCGAGGAGTTATTTCAAGTTCTGTGTTTGATGACTCTGCTACGGGCGAATGAGCTGCAGGTTAAGTTAAGCTGGTAGGGGACATTTCCTCGTTGAACTCCATTCTCCCCCGCCCCAACAGGATGCCAGACGGTTCTCTCTCCAACCGCTTCGGAGCCAGATACGTCCCTCACGAAAGCGAACCCCAAAAGTTCCCTCAAGGGGGACAAAGACCCAGGAGAAGAGAGCGAGGCCGTGGACGGCAAGCTTTCCATATTTATCCACAAGCGAGAAGATCAGTCGTCTCACGAGGTCCTCCAGCCGCTCTTAAGGTAACTGGGGGCCGGGGGTGGGGGAGGCGCCTTGAAGAGCCACCTGTTGCCCTGGCATGTTCCCACCCTCTGTGGTCCTTCTCCTCGCAGTAGCTCAGAAGGTCGCCCCTTTCGCCTCGGCACAGGCGCCAACATGGAGAAGGTGGTGAAGATGGACCGAGACATGACCAAGGTAAGAGGAACCTCTGGGAGGGTTTTGTAAACGGCTCCATCGCGCTCCCCAAACCTTGAGGGGGTCCCCAGGGATGCCACGTGCTGCCTTCCAAGCCAGGAACCTCCCAGGGGGATCCGCGCGGAGAACGTGGGACGGGCCCATGGCAACACAAGGGTTTCTTCCCCAGAGCGGCTGCTGTGAGGTGATCACGGAGGAGGCGGCTGCAGCTTTGCGGAAGGCCACCAAGTGGGCCCAATCCGGGCTGATTGTGAGCGTGGGCCCCCCGGTGGAAACGGTCAGTCCCGAAAGCACCAGCGGCCTCTCCACTGGGGACAAGAAGAAGACGGCCCAGACCTCCATCTGCAGGGAGCGGAATTCGGAGCTGGCCAGGTAGGCTGACCTCTGACCTTCCGAAAAGCTAGCCTTGGGGGGGGGGCGGGGGGGCTGCTGGATCTGGGAAGCAGCTGTGCAGAATGACCCCTCGCTCTCGGCTCCACTTTGAAGCCCCGAAGGTGGTGGGCAGGTGGAGTCCCCCGGGCAGGGCTGACTTGGGTATATCGCCTGACTCCCCTCCCTCCAATCAGGACTGACCCCGTGCGGCCCTTCATCAGCGGGCACGTGGCCAACAGCATGGCGGCAGAGGTGATCGCTCTGCTTCACAGCTTGCTCATGGCGCCCGAGTCGAACGCAGCTCAGATATGGACGACCACCGCTGAGAAAGTAAGCGGGGGGAAGGACTCACAATCTCGCTCCTCCCTTTCGCCCTGTCCTGGGTTTGTTTTTAAAAAAAAAATTCCCCCCAAGCTTGTCGTTCTGGGGTTTCTGCAAACGAACAAGGGCATCTGGCTCTCCCTGGTTGTAAGAACGCTTCCTGCCTCTGCTGGTTTGCTCTGAGAGGGGTGCCCAGCATTTGGTGGGCAACAGAAGCTCCTTCCTTTGCCTCCCCAGGGCTGCGTGATTCAGGGTGGGATTGGGGGGTGGGGAGAGCTTCTTCATTCTCTGCAGGCAACTGGCATAAAGCCTCTTAGCACCTCATGTTGGTGAGAAAGTTTTAAATGTTTGGAGCCTGAAATAGCAGCATTGCCACAAAAAGCCCCCTCGGGATGAATGAATGAGGAGGCGATGCCTAATGCGTTACATGAGGCCACGGTTTTTCGCCTGATCCTGATTTGCTTCATAAACCCCCATATGTGGGCTCCAACCTGCCCGCCCGCTTGAGCCTCTCTCTGTTCCTAGGTCTTGTCTCGGGCGCTGATGTACATTCCCCAGCTGGGAAAATACGCCGAGAGCATCTTGGAGAACGGCAGCAGCAACGGAAGGAAGCTCGCCAAGCTCCAGAGGATCGCTCGCCAAGCAGTGGCTGCCCTGTGTGCCCTGGGGGGCTTCAAGGAGACCATCAAAATCGGCTCAGAGGTTCAGGTGGGCGCAGGACCTCTTGTAACCCATCAAATCCGGAAGAGGCTTACATTTTTGGACACCATGTCTTCTGGCCCCTGCATTGTCCCTGCAACTGGGTGGATCTTAAATGCATTCTTCAACGTTTCCTTTCTCCTCTTAAATAGGTGTTGGGTCGAGGAATTGCCAGGAGCGTTGGTGTGGTGGCCTCCATTAATGAACAGGAAGGGATCGCCACCGTCAGATTTCCCCCTGTGAATATAGACTCTAGGAAGACCTCCCAGGCCTCAGACATTTTGACCATTCCGTTGTCGCGACTCTGCATTCCACGGTCGGAGGTGAGTCCGTTCTAACACCCAGAACAGAGCAGGTGTACAGGTGTCTGAATAATAAGCCCTCCCTGAAAATAAGGCCCTGTCTTCTTTTTGGGGGGAAAGACGTAACACGGAGGGATTACGCACCGGAAACGGATTCCTTATGTGTCTAATCACATTTGGCCAATAAAGAATTCTATCTTCAGGCTAAACCGTCAGCTCCGGAGTTTAGATCCTTAAAAAGGCCAATTCCAAAAATAATGTGGAGGGGAGAAGTGTAAATTTTCTGTATCCAAGAAGCCATTTAGAAAGTCAACCGCAGTAAAAAACCCGAAAGAAAGGGGAAGGAGAGAAGGGAAAGGAGAGGAAGGAAGGAAGGAGGGAGAGAAGAAAGAGAAGAAAGGGGGGTAGGAAGGAGGGAGGGAAGGAGGGAGGGAAGGAAGGAGGGAAGGAGAGAAGAAAGGAGGGAAGGAAGGAGGGAANATCCCAGCTTCGGAAGCGGAGTCTGTCTGACCCTTTGCCTCTTTCTGGAGCTACCAACCTGGGCTTCCCGCTTCCTGGCTCTCTAGGGAGAAATTCTTCCAGGAGGTCAACTCGGTGATCCAGAAGCCTTCGCACCCCATGGCCAAGACCAAAATCCTGGTCAAGAGCCTGATGAACCGAGCAGAGTTGCTCCTGCACGTCACCATCGCTGCCCAGTCGGGACTCACCCGGAGCATCTCCGGCACCCCGGCAGAAACGCCAGGTAAGGGGGGAGGGGAGGGGCCGGTCTGCCCTTCTCAGAAGCGGTCGCCTTTGAGCGTCTTTCTGGGCAACCGAGATCGAGAAGCTCCCCCCGTCCCCTGTTCCTTCGTGGGTTTTCTGAACAGGGGCCACGAAGGGTCACCCTCCCTCTTTCTGCTCCTTAACGCTCAGCGTGCAAGTCCGCCTCGGAAACCAAGGTCATCTCCCACGCTGTTCGCCAGCCAGTTTTCCTGCGCAGCATGTCGGCTCCCTCTGATCTGGAAATGATCGCAAACGAAGACCTGGAGTTCACCAGGTCGAGCCAGAGGTCAGCATCCACCTCCCTGGAATTAAAGTTCGGGCTGTCTTAGTCAGCCTTTTGGGATAACCCCACAGCCCCCCCTCCCCATCTCCATGCAGGCGGCGCCATGTTCCGAGCCACAGGAGCAGCTCCTTCACCCTCCTGCAGTCGCTGGCCATCGAAGACAGCCGGGACAAGCCCACCTACAGTGTCCTCCTGGGACAGCTCTTTGCCTTCATCGGAACCAATCCTGAGCAAGCAGTAAGTCCCGCCTCTTGGGCTTGCCCAATCCAAGGCAACCGCTTCACCTGTCCACGCGCAGCTGAATTCTCCAGGAACCAGCGGGAAAAATAGCCCCACCCCAGTTACCTATGAATATTTAAAATCCACCAGGCTGTTAAAAGCTCATTTGAGTTATTTCAATGACGTAAATAACTAATTCAAATAAATAATAAGAGCTATGGTGGCGCAGTGGTTGGAGTGCAGTACTGCAGGCTACTTCTGCTGGCTACCTGCAGTTTGGCAGTTCGAATCTCACCAGGATCCAGGTTGTCTCAGCCTTCCCTCCTTCCGAGGAGGGTAAAATGAGGAGCCAGATTGTTGGGGGGACAAGAGGCTGACTCTGTAAACCGCTCTGTAAAAGCACTGTGAAGAGGTATATAAATCTAACAGCTTTGGTATAATTTTTAATTATTTAAATAACTTGTCATTCAGGAGGTTGGAACATCTAAAAATGTTCTAAAATTTGTTTTTGTTCTGGCCACAATGGGAGTCCCTCTCTTTTATTTTTCAGCTTGACGGGTTCCCTCCAGGGGAAAGATTACACCCCGATTCATTCATTCATTCATTCATTGAATTTCTAGGCCGCCCAATCCCGAAGGACTCCGGGCGGCTTACAGAAATGAAATATTTTTGGGATTTTGAAGGTGGAAATTTTAAAAAACCACAAGATCAATACATATACATATATAATTCGATTTTAATTTACATTAAAATTAATGTAATCTCGCTCCAGCAAATGGGTCAGTGGACTCCGGAGTCCACT